GCCCAGCCCGCACCCTGGCCTGTTAGCAGGTTCTCCCAGGACCAGGGCAGGAGGCAGGGGGCAGGGAGCAGGGCTGTTCTCTGGCCCTCAGCTCTGGAAAGCGGCACTCATACGTGAAGCAGGGAGGTACTTGAGGGCATAGGAAAATGAAAGGCAACCAGGTCCCAGACCCAGGAGCACAAACAGCTCCCACCCCACCCACACCGCTGGACATCAGTTCTCGCCCAAGTTGTCTCTGAAGTCTTGGGCCCAGCCTGGCAAAGGCAGCAAAGCAGAAGTTAAAACCAGTAATTAAAGCAAGGTGGGTCTGGAAAAGGCTAAACTGAAGGGCGCGAACAAGGCGTGATTACAGAGCCGCTCCAAGTAAATGGTGTCTCCTCAATCCGCACGGCTGCTCCCCAAGTTATTAAGGAGAGCTTTGATTTGCCTATGGCTATTTCTCCTCCTTAAATATTGCAAGCAGCGCATTTCCAAGAAGTTACAGAGAGACGGTTAACCTTTATGTACTAAGGAAAGATTGAGGTAATAAGGAAGCGAGTTAATGGGATTTCAAGCACACATGGAATTTAACAAGATGAAATCTTACAAGAACATGACCTCTCTCTCAAGGTACAAATCCGAGCGTGGCCTTCCTCCCCACTTCCCCCATCAATCGGTTATTTTAATCTTACTTCATTTTATTTATTTCTGGTGATTGAAATCTTTCTTTATTCCACCAGAAGCTCTAGCAAAACACGATCAGCCGTGCGCCCAGCATCTTCCACACACACCGTGTGAGCCTCGTGTGTCTTTTATTTAAGGAACTGAAGGGCCTGCCTTATCCCAAAGACAATGTCCATATCTGATCCTAATACGTGCAAAGCGCCAAATGATATTTCAGTACCCCACCCCCGAAAATATCAGCGCGCCTGGGATGTTGTGGTCATTGCCACTCTGGGCCCACAGCTGCAGCGATAGACACTACTGAGAGCTGAAGGTGACTTTCGAGTCAGGTGAGGCTCTCGTTTCAGGCTTAGGGTTCTGAGTCCTCACACTCTGCAGGGGAGAATCAGCCCTCGTGGGGATGCCCTGGGGTGTCCCGGGGAGAGTCCTCAATGCCCATGGGAAGAAAGGTTCTCTGCTCAGCTTTCTGCTGACTGGAGCCCAGGCGCCCACCTGTGGCCCAGCAGAAGTTCTGAGTGATACACTTGACCATCACGAAGAGGCAGACATTTGGGGGTTGAATCACTTTTGTGCTCAAATAGCCTCCAAGTGCTTTTGACCATGAACCTCACTGGTACACGTTTATTTTTTTTAATATTTATTTGTGCATACAGAACTGGGGTGCAGGCCAGAGGTGCAGGGCCGGTGAGAGCAGCCCTCTCCATTCGGGGGGCCGAGGCTGGAAACATCAGAGAAGAATAAAGCTGGCCCAGCGCCACGGAAGCCACAGTGCCACCCGCAGGCGAGACCTGTCCTCGTTCCAGAAAACGGCGCTGCCCCCTCGCGTCTCGGTTTCCTTCCCAGCCACCTGTCTCAGGCCGCCGCCTGCGCCCGCTGCGGCTCTCACCCACGTCCTGGCCCTTCCAGCCCCCGCGGGCAGCGGCCCCGTGGCACATTCTTGGCAGAGCGTAAACTCCCGGGTGTACACTGGGCCCGCTGAGTTCACCCTAACGGGCTTTCGGAAAGCTGCCATGGCAAGGATGGAATTCAACAGAAACCTCAACTTTTCCTCCCCGAAAATAGAAGCAGCTTAATGAAAACACGTCTGCGCCTGGCGTCCGAGGAGGCCAGCGCGCGTTCCAGAGGCGCGTGGGAGTTTTACGGTGTGAACTGGAGGCGGCCACGGGCTCCGCGCGGCTGTTCGGACTCCCGGATCCGCTGACCGCTGCGGCGGCCACGGGCTCCGCGCGGCTGTTCGGACTCCCGGATCCGCTGACCGCTGCGCTGTGCAGCGCGCCCCGAGGGCGGGAAGGGCCGGCACCGGGAAGCGTCGTCTGGCCCCAGGCTGGCCAGGAGGAAGGTGGCTTTTTGAAAACCCTCGCTGTGCTCGCTATTTCCTCTCCGGGGTGGGTGGAGACAGTCGCTCGCTACCTTTGTACAAAGTAAACTCTCGGCTTGTCGGACATGTGGAAATCCAAGTTCACACACAACAAACGCGCAGCCCAAGAGCAGACGGTCGTCGTTACTATTACTGCTGAGGTGACCGGCTGTAAGAGGGACACGGCCCGCACGGCTTCGGCCGCCTGTTACCACGCCATAACCCCACCTCCACCCCCGGGGCGCCCATCACCCCCACCGTGGCTGAAGGTACCCCACCCCCCACCCCCACCCCCGCTGGGGGCCTCAGTTCCCTAGTCCATCCCAGCACTTGCATTGGGTTTTGTCTGTCCTTTGGTTCCTGTGTTGAGTGTCAGCTGTGCACTGACGGGACTCAGAGGTGAGCTGGCGGCTGTTGCCTCTGGGTGCAGGGACAGCTGTGCTCTCTGCGGCCAGCCAGTCGGGGGGCCGCGGCCCCAGGAAGGAGGCGGCACCTCAGGGTGACCCACTTTGAATCCCCTCTCAAGTTGCGGATGCTGGGGCAGCAGGAGCCACCGGCCGAGGGTCCCGTCCTCCCTCCTGGTCTCCGCCCTGGGACACTCTGCGGCCCGTGACGTGCACCAGGCCACCCGGTCCAGCCCCTGTCCCCGCCAGAAAATGGAAGCAGGCGGGTGCCCTGAGTTCCGTTCGGGAGGAGTTAAGACCATCAGCCAAAGACATGTAGAGAATTGCACATCTTGTCAGGCTTTGGGGGGCAGCCCAGGGAAGAGCTATCACTTTCCAGTTATTTCTATGAGCAGAAACGACAGAACAGTCTCCAAACATCTGTTTTGTCCCCATTCATAGAAAGAAGCCGGAGTTGTAACTTTGGGTGAGTTCTGAAAGCGTTGCCTCAAAAGAGCAGGGAAGTCCCAGGGGTGACCCCATAACACCTGAGGCTCCAGGTCAGTGATTTTTGAACAGGAGGAGGAAAGGAAAGAGCAGAGAGAGGAGGGACAGGACCAGAGCTCTGTTCTCCCCTCCTCACTGCTCTGCTCTCCGGCAGGTATGTTACTGGGGGAGGGGCAGCCCAGAACCCCCAAATCTGCCCTCCCTGAATAGGTTCTGCCAGACCCTAGTGCATAAGCCTTTAATGGAAAGAAACTTGAATAGAATTAGTGAGTGATACAGAGAAGGGGAAGAATAAACTTTCCAAATCAAGCACCCAAAGTTACCCATCCCCTCGTGAGCAAATGCCCAGCCAATCAGGGCTGGCTCCAAGCAGGGCCACCGAGGCCCCAGAGCCTGCCACAAAGTCTCAGACACCTCCTGAGGGGCCCCCATAGGACAGGGGCACAAGGGCCCAGCAAGCTGCCCTTGTCGACCTCCATGGGCCTCTCACCCACGTCTGCTTCCGCGGTCCGGGACCAAGAAGCAAGAGCCGCTTCTTCACGTCTCTGCACTCCATGGGCCCCCTCCAGGCCTCTTGTAGCTCCCCATACTTCTTTCTTCCCCAGAGACCTCTCTAGTCTCCCCTCTCCAGTGCCCCCCACCCCCACCCTGGCCACCGGAGTCTTTGGGGTTCTCCAGGGCAGGCTGCAGACTCCTTCCTGGAACAGGCGCTGTGACCCAGTGCCCTGGGTGCTGACACCACCCTCTTGGGGCAGGTGTGTGTGTGTGTGGTGGGGGGTCTAAACTTTCTTTGAACTGATGTATTTAGATTATGCGCTTCGGGGCTTGAGAGTTAGGGGCAAATGGCTTCTCACCTAGCTCTGTGCCTGGCAACAAGGCACCCTGCATGGAAATTCAGCACCGCTGTTCTTCCAAGACGTGGCTTCTCTCCTGAGGAAGGGAAGATACTGTGGGATTTTCCCCCATAGCCCATTTCCCATTTATGACCGGCTGACTCGAGTGATACTGGAGGTTAATTTTCCAGTTGGGGAGCTTAAAGATGTCTTTGTGTGCCCCGACTAGAAGTGCTTTTCTGAACACCTTGAGTGCGTTCAGGTGACAAGACATCGGGTGCCCGCAGGGCCCCGCGCCCAGTGACCCAGGTGGTGAAGTGCGTAGAAGCTCCAGGCGGCCTTCAGGGAGAGCTCTGTCCTTCCCCGGGGCCTCTGCAGCCGGACGCCTTACCTGCAAGCAGCCACCGCCCTGTCCTTTCCCTCTGTCTTCTCCCTTTCCTAGTAAAAACCTGACAAACTCTCAGTCTCTAGGTCTCCCAGCAGGACCTCTTCATGTTTCTTTTCTCAGCTTCAGAGATCGGGGTCTCTGAATGTTCTCCTATCATTGTCTGGGTTCAGGAGCTGCTGGGAAGTGGTCAGAGGCTCACACGCTCCGGTTCCCACATCACAGGAACCAGGTTTTCCAGCGACAGTCCTAGGCCTTCCCCAGCCCTCTGTGGGTGACAAGTGGTGTGGGGACATTCCAGCCAGTGAAGTTCAACTGGGGAAAGAGAGCAGTTTCACACTCGGTCCACTTTTCTCCTTAAAGCAAAACAAAACAGAGTAAGTGACCAAGGCAGATTTCAAAATGTGTTTTCTCTAATACCCCACACGACACTCTGGCTGAGGTTTTCAGGAAATTGCAGGGATCAAACAATTCACTAAGACTTTGGTGTCCAGGTTCCCCGAAGCCTTGAAACTCCCTGGGGGCTAATGACTGTTTACCGCGGACCTTCCTCCCGCTTCTTCTGTAACATTTTCCATCCTGAGAAGGGTCCTCCCATTCAGCCGGTGTCTGAGTGGCTGGCTCCCTGGAATCACTACCAGTGGAAACTATTCTGCAAGAGGGGTTGATAAACGCAGCTGCAGCGCAAACCTCGGCTGTTTTTTCCATCCTCCCCAAGCACAGTTAATTAGCATAGAGAAAATGACTAAGGTGTTGACGTCACCTCTTTCCAGTAGAAACTCACACTCTGTCCCTGTCTGCCTGCAAGCATGCAAAGCCTGACTCAGGAATTTGCTGTCCAAACAGGATGCCGCGGGGAAGCGGTGCCTCCTCCCACCCCCAGCAGGCCGGACCTTATAAACCCCCGCTTCTGGAAGAGCCCACAGCCTTTCCATCCCCGGACCTCACTCGGGGCTTGACTGCCTGGGTCTCTGGCGCTTTCGCTCTCAGAAAGCAACATGCACTTTAGAAACTTCAACTACAGCTTTAGCTCTCTGGTTGCCTGTGTGGCAAACTCTGATATCTTCAGCGAAAGTGAAACCCGGGTAAGCGTCCCAGACGATGTGATTTGGGGGGAGAGTTTTCAAAGCATTCTATGACTCGGGCTGGTATCTGAAGTAGTTAGGGGTCTGAGGCCCTCTTGCAGGTGGGTGGGTGGGTGGTGGGTGGGTTTGGGCTTTGAGAGCGACCCGTCAACCTTAAAAATATCCAAAGATGTTGCCTCGGGAGTGAAACGTAAAGGTCTCGAAAGCATAGGGTGTTTGGAAGTCTCCCGGACTGGCACGGCGATTTGGGTGAAGTCTGTCTGTCCTGTCAGGCTGTAAGTGAGCTCCTGGGAGACAAGTCTTTTCCTGTCGGTCACCAGGTTTCTCTGCGATTCCGGGAGTGCAGAATCACTCGTCTTTATCTTAGCGAGTAGGTGTGTGATAAAGATACTTGTACATTCACGGGCTTGGGAGAATCTCCAGCTAGAGAGTGTTTGCAGCTCTCTCTAGCTGAAGAAAATGCAGCCATAGCAAATAATAAAACCGGATAAATAACTTCAGTGTGGGATTCAGTGTACCTCTGGGAAGGCGGCACTCATGGATGGTAATTAATATAATTAGTCATTTTAATTACTGTGCTTTTATTCTTTATTTGATTAAGATGCCCGGTTTCCTTCCCTCGCTCGCCAACTGATTTTCAGCAGCCTCGTGTAGGATTGACTCCCCAGGGTTCAGTCTGGGGCTGGTGATCGGGTTATCCGACGCTTTCGGCGCAAAGCCACGCCGGACACGTGACGGCTTCTTTTCGCATAAATCAAACAACTCTGCACTCACGTACAATGCGTGTGGGCCAGGATGGCAGGTCTGGAAGGAGAGATTCCCAGCGCTCCTGTGTGTAAAAGTACAGCAGAGCCTCTGCTCCTCGTCAGCCGTGCGTGATGGAGCAGCAGCGGCCGTTCAGCCGCCAGCCCCTCTGGGCAGCGGGGATTAGGCCCACGAGTGTGCAGAGGACGGTGGTGTCCACGGCGTGCCCGCCTCCTGGTGCGTCGGGTGCTCAGCCCTGACTTGCATTCTAAAAATAGCCAGCACCGTCACCTCCCCTGAATTCTGAATCATGACTTCAAAATGAAAGAGCTGGCCGCCCTGCCTGCTGATGAGGTCATGCCCGA